CGGTCCATTTTGATTAATTTCATTCCCACCCTCATTACCTCTAGAATTTCTCCACTTGAAAAACTATGTGGTTAGCCACTTAATTATTTCTCTTTGTGTGTATTTGAATGCATCTGCTTTGTTTTGATTCCTAGTGCTCTTGGTACTAAGCTCTTTGTTCGTTCAATTTAAAACGTTTTTCTTGGTTATAATGAAGGCCAAAAGGGGTATTATTGCTATGATCATGTTTCACACAAATTCTATGTCTCTTTTATTCCATCTAGTTTTTCATATTTGCATAAATCTGATCTCATTTACGTTGGCCCATTTTTTTGCTAATGTTCCCTCTACCACTTAAGTTAGTGATATGATTGTTTCTAATGTACATTTCTTTTCTGAGTTACCCATTACTCGTACCCCCCTTTTGTGCATACATATATTCGCAGGAATCCAGTTATCTCCTCTACAGATGTGGTGCCTCCCTTCTTTGCTTATGCCACCTAATCAGGTTCAAACACCATGGATCATACCCCACGCTATCCTTAGTGTTCTCATAAATTCTCAGATAGGTTTGGTTGGAATAACACTTGTTATTCTCTTGACTTTTATTTTTTTCTTACTTCTATTCACTCCCTATTTGAACCCACCTCCTACTAGGAGGTTTTACTTGATTCACTTTAGAAACAGGATATGGATGAGTAGTTATCTACCTTACATAAGACCAGAGCTTGACAGCTAATGTCTTTACGACCTAGTAAAACGCACTATTGGTTGTAGGTGAGTTTATAAGATAAAAATTAATTCTAATAGTTCTGTGGAACAGTATAAAGCTCAATTAGTAGCCAAAAATTTTGCTCAGTAATATAGCCTAGACTATGATGAGACTTTTGCCATTGTTCACACTATGATTATAGTTGCTACCATTTGCTATGAAGTTTATCTGAACCCACCTCCTATTAGGTGGCTTTACTTGATTCACTTTAGAAACAGGATATGAATGAAGAGTTATCTGCCTTAGTTGGATGTGAAAAATATCTTTCTTTATAAAGTTTAAGTGAAGAGGTTTTTATGACTCCTTCTACTGGATTATCTCATAGTCTTAGTCTAATATGTCGCCTTCACCGAACTTTATATGGCCTTAAACAAGCTCTCAGGACATGATTTGTCAAATTTTCTTCGGTTATCTATGATTTGATTTTTCCCGCTAATGAACATGATTCTGCCTCGACATGTTTTATTATTCTCTTACTGTATGTTGATGATATAATTATTACAGTTGATGACACTGTTGGTATATGCTTATTAAAAATTCAATTGTAGCACCATTTTGAGATGAAAGATTTGGAGCACCTTAGGTATTTCTTGGGTATTGAGATTGCTTACTCTCCTAAAAGTTATCTTTTCTCAGTCAAAGTATACTTCGGATGTTATTCAATGAGCCCGTTTATTAGATAATTGAATAGGTGAAACACTTTTAGAGATCAATGTTCATTAATCTTCTTCTGATACTACTCTTTTGTCTGATCCTACACTCGTCCGGATATCTCCTTTGTTGTTCTTGTTGTTAATCAATTTGTTGTCTCACCCTCCACTATTCACTGGGCTGTTGTTATTTGTATTTTTTGATATCTTCGAGGTATTATGCATAAGAATTTGTTATTCTCTTCCTCGTCCTCCTCATCTTCTATGAAATTTAGGGTTTATTTTAATGCTGACTAGGCTAGTAACTCTATGGACCGTAAGTCCACTATTGGCTTCTTCCTTTTCTTTGATGATTCTCTTATTTTTTGGAAAAGTAAGAAATAAACTGTTGTTTCTTGTTTATCTACTGAAACTGAGATAGTTTGATTACGATGGTTCATTGCTGATCTTAGCATCATGCTATCTGCGTCGACCCCTATGTATTATGACAACACCAATGCTATTTACATTGCTCATAACTCAGTCTTTCATAAATACACAAAGCACATTCAAATTGATTTTCACTTTGTGCGTTATCATCTCAACTGGGCACGATCTTCCTTCTCTTTCTTTATTTTATTATGCAGTTAGCAGATTTCTTCACAAAGTCGCATACTATTACTTACTTTCGCTTTTTTCTTGGCAAACTTTTGATTTTTTTGCTACCACATAATGAGTTTGCTGAGAGTTGTTAGATTAGTTACCATATTTAATCTTAGAGGTAGCTTAATCTTTTGTTTTATTTTATATTTACCTACTATATAAAGGCTTTCATTATATATCTCACATTTATACTTTAACTAATTATTGTAGCTGAAATATAATTTCATTTTTTTCTCTCTCCCCTCTCGTTTATTTTGACCAATATCATCAAGTAGCCCATCCAGACGTACGAGGTTGAACTAACTTGGTTGGTTTAGAAACTCGTTGATTTCCAAGTTTATTTTGAAAAGAGAAATGTTAGATGGACTTAAAAACTAAACTTAAAAATTAGACTTGATAATCTCAATCATTGAATATGTAGTGAGTCTCAATAAATATTGGGACCCACAGTAAAATTAATGGTTGAGATTATCAAGTTTAGTTTTTAAATCTACTTTTTAAATTCATGTAGCATTGCTCTTTTGAAAAAATAACATTTCGAAAGAAATACACCATATCCACTACATTACTAAGGAGCACATATATTTTTTTAAGAGGGGGTGTGGTGATAGTGTTGAAGACATGTTTAATATAGTTAAAAGTGTCCTAAATAATGGATTCAGTCGGACACGGCTACAACACACCGAGTTGATACTCTTACGTGAATCCTACACCGGGTTGAAGTTGTCTCCTTGTATACCTTATCAGATAAGCTTATCTCAGTCTCCCTATACGTCTGCTCAATTGCCTTATCACTTGATTGCGGCTCCTTCGGCTCATTATTATGCCTCTCAGCTTATCTCAGCTTAATCTTGCAGCTTATGCACATAGCTTTCAGCTCACACTGGTTTCTCTCCGCTGATACTCTTGGCTCATCTCCTATTTATGACAGCTGGTCACCTGCTTTAAATGGATCAGTCCCAGTTCAACAATCCTTAGCTCAAGCTCGCAGCTCAAATCTGTCTGCAAACTACATTAGCTGGCACATTATTCTTTAGGCAGTATGCTTAGATTTGTTTTATTTTTCATTTCTTGTAATAAGCATGCATTTTTGCCTTTTTTCTTAATTATTTTTTATGTAATATGTTATATCGAGGGGTAAGGTACAAAAATCTCTCTTAGTTAGGTGTAAGTTAATATTTTAATCAATAAAATCTCTCTCGCACCGCTCGAAGTTTCACCAAAAAAAAACATAGGACACGCCGAGAAATTTTTGTAGAAAAAAAATAATTGTTGACTATTAAAAAAAATGTTATTTCTATTTTTTGTTAATATAACTTTTGTCATTCAATGAATGTAATGATATTTGATAAAAATGATAGATATTTATTTTGATTTATTTGAATTTTAATCAAAAAAATAATATTTGTTAGGTCTTATTATTAACATTATTATAATATATCCTATATTTTTAATATATTACACTATATTATTATTATTATTTAAAAAATATATTATATTATTTCAATAATCGTATCCGTATAGTACCCATGTCCAATATTTTTTTAATTTTATCATATTTTTATTTTTATTTTTATTTTTATTTTTATTTTTGTATTTATACTTCGGAATGAATAAATGAATCTTATTTTTTCACCGTACCACAATTAAAGAGAAAACTTAGAATAAAGTGCAAAAGAGCCAAAGTAACAATGACATGATTGAACCTATACCTCTCAAATGAACTGTTTTTCTATGTCAACCAAATGAATTTTCATTTTTGGAAAAATAACAACTACCAAAACAAATATTATATCAACATAAATCTTGGAAAGAATTATTTTCAGGGAGTCGATTTCTTACATTCTTTTATTTGATTTTATTGGGATTAATATGCTCAATTAATTGAGTATATATTGAATAAAATCACAACACCACGTTATCATCGTCACGTAATATTATCATTTAATAAAAACACAATTAAATAAATAAAATAAATCTTAGTATTTTATATAGGGTGATTATTCACTTACATTGGAAAATTGATTCGTGTAAGCAAAGTCTATTATTAAATTGTGTGACATCCATATAATTATATTATCGTTAATTTTTATTAGATAATAACATGATGGAAAGATAATAAAGTTGTGTCACAGCTACCTTAAATATTTTTTTCTGAGTAATGATGCTTCTCTGTCTAATTTCATGTAGGAAAGCATTAGTAAGCCTATGAAATCTGGATTCCACGCAAGTATGGAGTGAAAAATGCTGAATCAAACGTTTGCGGGCTGGCGGATCGGGTCGGGGCTCCTTTCTATGCCGGATGACACATGTTTTTGTGTACAGCCTTCTCGTCTGCGCCGGCCTGCATGCCTGCCTGCCTGCCTGCCAGAGAGAGAGATGGTATTAATGGCCAGAGCCATCGATTCGACCCGTCCCCATCATCCCTCTGCCTTCTTCTCTCTTACAGTGCCCACTCACTCGCGAGAAGTCGGAGGCCGTGTCTCTTACAGTCTTACTTTCAACAAACAAAAACATTTAATTGATCTCTCTTAAAAAGAATGAAACGTTAAATTTTGGAGCCGCATTTCTCAGTTTGCTCAGTACAATCATAACCTATTCTCTGAGAAATTTTCTAATCATATCCCCCCATTGTCCTCTATCTTCTCTGATTTTTTATCACTAAATAAGCATTAATTTTACCAGTAAACATGTGATTTTGTAAATTGAAACGTCTTAGTCAAAGCAGGTTCCACAATCTCCACTTTTTCTGCTGCAAAATCTACATTCACTTCTCTTACTCACTTTCCCTTTTGAAAGATACCTTAGAAATCTAACTCCAAAAGCATCCAGAAACACAGAAATTGAGTAGAATCTACCGAGCTAGTTCCACATTAATGGTGGTTCTTCTTCTTCTGGTTCTTGTTTAGGATTTTTCTACCAAGTTCCGTTTGGGTGCCATTTGGGCCCATTGCTAGATGGGGGACAAAAAAGGAGAGACTACCAAGAAACAGCAACAACAGCAGCAGCAACATATATCATCTTCTTCCGATGACCCAGTTCAGGAATCAGCAGAAAATATACAACAGCCGCAGCCACACCACCAGTCACCGCCGGTGGCGGTGGTGGTTTCTGGAGCCCCGTTTATCTCTGCTCCCTTGTACATCCCTAGTGGTGCAAGTTCAGGGTCCTTTGATCCGCAGCTCCAAAAACAACAGTTTGAAGGCGTTAATCCAAAGAGACCAAGATACACTAGCGGTCAGTGGAAGCTCATACCATCTCCATCTCAACAACAGCAGCAAAAGCAGACCCAGATGAATATACTGAGTAGCGAGTCAAGCCCATCTCCTTCGACTCACACCACCACCAACCCTCAAAACCAGCCTCAGCCTCACACCACCGCAGTTTCATCATCGGATACAGCCTCATCTCCTTCCCACTCTCCACGTCCTTGTCACTCTGCTGCCTCTGGTCAAGAGACCAACAAGCCAGAAGGAGTGGGAGAGCAGTTTCACCATCAATTCAGAAAGGGCAAGTACGTGAGTCCAGTATGGAAACCAAACGAGATGTTGTGGTTAGCCAGGGCTTGGAGAGTTCAGTATCAAGGTGGCTCAGAGGGGTCTGGCTCGTCTTCAGCACCAGCAGAGGGATCTCCGGCTACCGGAGGTGACTTGAGAGTCCAGCCGGCGAGAGGAAAGACTAGGGCAGATAAAGATAGAGAAGTTGCTGAGTTTCTAAACAGACATGGGGTTAATAGAGATGCCAAGACCGCTGGTACTAAGTGGGATAACATGTTGGGTGAGTTTAGGAAGGTTTATGAATGGGAGAGAGGCGGAGAGAGAGAGCAAGTTGGGAAGAGCTACTTTAGACTTTCGCCTTATGAGAGGAAGCTCCATAGATTGCCTGCTTCATTTGATGAAGATGTGTTTGAAGAGTTGTCTCAATTCATGGGGTCAAGAATGAGAACGCCTCAGAATAGAGGACCTATTATTATTTCCGGTGGTGAGGACAGTCGATCTGATCAGACAGCCACAAAGTTTTTGCCTCCACCTCCTCCTCTCAGAGAAGAAGACCTTCCTTTCTCTGGTATGCCTTAATCAGAAGTAGAGAGTCAGACTTAAATGTTCCCTCTCTCTCTCTCTCTCTCTCACACACACACACTCACACACACACACACTCACTCACACTCACACTCATGCGCTAAGCAGACATACCCACTAGGTAACATTTATAGCATGAGTAATCTTTGTTTACCAATGAATGACATGATGAATCTAGTTGGGAAAATAAGCCCTTAATATCATCTCTATAAACAACTCTTTTTAAGTTGTTGCAGCGAGGGTGAAGCAACTGGTCATGACGGGTGGACTCAGTGGAGGTGAAACTTTCCCGCACGGGACTAGAGGGAGCTTATTAGGGTTTGAGACTTCTTCTTTAGACCTTGTTGGCCCATCATCTTCATCTTCGAAGGAGCTTCGTCGAATTGGAAAGATACGAATGGTATGGGAAGAATCAGTTAGCTTGTGGGCTGAAGATGGTGAGCACCACAGAGGAAGAGTGAAGCTTCAAGGTTCGAGCTTTTTAAACGCAGATGAGCTTACATTCTTGGATGATTCCATGGCTGCTTGCACTATGGAAGCCTTTGAAGATGGGCCATTGAAAGGCTTCTCTGTTGATAGATTCGTCTCTGGACAGCAAGTCAAAGTCTTTGGCCGAAGAAAGTCTTTCTCAGCTCCTGCTCCTCCTTCGGGTATATAAATGTTTTAGTCAATATTCATATTCATATAAATTAGGACAAGTTTAGGTCTAAATAGTATTATTCTATTCTAAACAACCTGGAAACCAACATACATTTCACTGTTCCTTTATTCTTCCCAGGTTTCGGTGAAAGAGTTCAACTTCCTTCTACAGAACCCTCCATCAGATGTAAGTATTTGACAAAGATAATTAGGGTGATTTTATATATTTATACATATAAATAAAACCTAACTCAACAAACCTGTCAAATACTCTCTTTGATCCATTTAAGGTCGACTATATATATATACATATCATGTATATTAATCCTACCTTAGCACCCGCAGCACCTAAAACGTTGGAGTCTTAAATTCTAAACGGATTGAGGATTAGTAGGGCTATTTATGTGGATTGCTGTTGGTATATTACTTGGCATATTGCACATTCCAATATAGACTTAGATTTTGTTGGAATTATTCCAATATTACTTCAACAAGAAAATTGCTCTTAGACTACTTTGTTGGAGTTAAGTGGACTAGAAATAAAATGGAAGGAAGTAGACGAGGATATGAACACTCAAAAAAAAAAAAATTATTTCATACAAGGTGATTACAATTACGTACTTAACTTAGACTCTTCAATTTCTACTCAACTCTACTTACTTGAACTCTAGGTCATGTACCCTATTTATATAGGTCATACATATAATCCCTAATATTACATTAAGGTACTATTATACCCACTAATTCTAGTAACCTTTAAAATATTAAGACACCATTATTTAGGAATTAACACCCCCTAATACTCTTGTCTTCCACTATTTGCATATTCCTTGTCCACTAACACACCTTAATATTATAGCAAACTCTAAAACAAGTTTATTTTTCAACATCTCCTCTTAAACTTGATTTTGCACCTCCAAGTCCTTATCTTACAAATCTCTTCATGGTTGAGGGGCTTCATGGAATTATTGGAAACTTCTTGAACTTGAGTACCACCTCCTTCATTAGCAAGAATTGTCAAAGTCATCTCTTTTGCAGTGTAGGGCTTATGATCAATTTGCACATGGTCATACATTATCTTCAATTTGTTCATTTTCTTCTTCTCATTTTTGCATTTGCATTCATTCTTCTTGAACTTCTCACATTTCTTGAATTTTCCTTGGGGTGGCTCTTTACCCAACCTGTGTCATTTAGAATATTCTCTACAAGTTGTGAGTAACAATTAGTGAAATTTTCAAGAAATAGATTACCTTGAACATGGTTCTCAACAAGATGACCTTCATTTTCATGCTAGATTGCAAAAGTATTTTCCATGGTCACTACATAATATTTCACTTTAACATCCTTAACCACATAAGGATCCTTGATTTCTTCTCCATGCTTTACAAATTCATTTTCTTCAATTTCTTGAGTTGTTTTTTTAACTTCATTGTTTTCGTCATCCTCTCTAGTCTCTTGAACTTCAACTTTTAACTTTTTCAACCTCTTTCACTTCATCAAGATGATGCTCTTCTTGATTCTCCATTTGTGCATCTTCAAAATCACTTTATTCTTTTACATACTCATCTTCTTCAAAGCATTGTACCCAATACTCCTGGGGTAAAAACTCACTTTCATGTTTGGATATTACATACTCTATCATCTTCCAAACATGATTGGGAGAACTTGAATCTCATACAAGTTTCCAAATCTCGGGATGAATTGCTTTCTTCAGAACTTCGAGGTGCCTTTTCCTCTTTCTTTTCTCGAATTCTTCTAGGCAAGCCATTCCTTGGCTTTTCTTCAGTCACATCCCATAAATCACATGCTTTGAGATAAGAAGGTAGAGTAATTTTCATTCTCTTGTAATTAGAGAATATCATCTTTTCACACCAAAAATACATATTTGGTGAATCTTCCACGATCATCAATTGCGACGATCTATCAAGACTTCAAATATTGTACTAGCTCTAAAGGTGAGCTATTTGGATTTCCAAGATTATAAACTTTGGCTCTGATAGAGAGTTTTCTAGACTTCCAGAAACAAAAGTTGGCTCTGAATGAGAGTTATCTTCTTGGATCGGTGCTAGTTCTAATACCAATTTGTTGGAATTATTCCATTATTACTACAACAAGAAAATCGCTCTAATACTATTTTGTTGGAGTCAAAAGGACTAGAAATAAATTTGAAGAAAATAGAGGATATAAACACTCAAAAGAACAATAATTTCATACAAGTTGATTACAATCACATACTCAACTTGGACTATTCAATTTCTACTTACTTGAACTATAGGTCATGTACCCTATTTATATAGGTCATACATAATAATCTCTAATACTACATTAAGATACCATTACACCCACTAACTCTAGTAACCTCTACAAGATTAAGACATCATTATTTGGAAATTACCAGCCCACTAATACTTTTGTCTTCCACTACTTGCATATTCCTTACCAACTAACACTTAATTTATACACCTTAATATTATAATAAACTCTAAAACAAGTTTATTTTTCAACAGATTTATGGCTATATGTTCACGAGTGTGATTAAGATGTTTTTGCAGCTATTCCTCCATGGGAGTTTCAAGACCCAAGTGAGTACTACCTAGGTTGTTTGCGAGCTCCACCACAAACACTTCCAAGCTTATTTGAGCTCTCATGGCATGTACAAGAACCACCGCTGGAGGAGCTACGTTTCCCTCTTCGGAAGGACGTATACCGAGACTTGCCTCAAGGCAAAGAGCTCTTCTTCACCACCACCACCGAATTATTAGATTGTAGAGCTATAACATTTGACCTGTTAAGCCCAATTATCCGATTAAACCCTAGTCTTAGTGGTGTAACTGCCACAAGCAGAGACTCCTTCATTGGCCTTTGGGATGATTGCATCAACAGAATCATATCTAAATTCTCTTCTGTCGAAATGGTGTTTGTAAGAAAGCCCTCTTCATCATTATCAGATGTAGTACAGGATCAGTGGCCTAATATCACTGGATTTCTAAGAAATTTTTGCTTGTGGAGGGGGGAGGAGACTGATCAATCAAGGGAGGGCCATCTTGATCCTTCCTCGTCTATTGTTGAAAAGCTTCTCTGGACTTACATGGACCTTCCTTACTTGTTGGGCTACTATGCTGTTGGCTACATTGTGACTTTTTGTGCATTAAGCCGTTCACAAGACCGTATTATCCGAACAGATCTTTATACAGTAGACCTATCAATGCCAACAGAGAGGCTAAAAACCCTAGTCCCTTGTTGGAAGATTGCAGGCTTACTACCATTGTTAGCTGAACGATGCTTCAATTATTTCAACAATGGCAACACTTACAAGCTCTTTCCCTACAGTGATTTCGAGAGGATTGATTTGGGTAACGGAAATGTTTTGGAAATGACACCAAACACGGTGACTAGGTTCTTCTCATCCAAAAGAAAATGTGCTGCGGTGAAAGAGATATACGATTTTCTGGATCATCGAATCCCACACGCTGAATTCATCGTCCGATCATCGGAGAAAGATTTGGCATTGATGTTCAAGCCTAGAGGGTGCAAGTTCAAACCCACAAATTGTGATCAACTGATAGAAGCTCTCAAGCACGTAACAAAAGCATTGGTTGCACTGCATGATCTCTCATTCATGCACAGAGACCTGGGTTGGGACAAAGTTATGAGAAGTGATAGAGAGAACGAATGGTTCGTGACTGGGTTTGATGAAGCTGTGGGAGCACCACAGATTTACCCACATGGTGCGGCGGCGAGTGGAAGGCACGCACCAGAGATGGGTAGGGGTTTGCATGGGGTGAAGGTTGACGTATGGGGTGTGGGTCAGCTAGTTAAGACCTCTGGATTGGTTGGTGTGCCTAAATTGCTTAGAGAGTTGATGAACAGGTGCTTGGACCACAACCCGGAGCAGCGGCCAAGCGCCGCCGACTGCTACCACCACTTGTTGCAGTTGCAGTCTTCCCTGTCAGCTGCCGCCGCCGGAGGGTATTGATGTGTGATTGATCTCTATTTATTCCACAGTCCGCAGCCACTTATAAATGGTGGCTTATGCTAAAATGCGCAGCTCTTTGCTTATTCTATTTTTTTTCGGGTAAGTCATAGCTTATTCTCTTTAGCATTGGAATTAACTTTTGCAGAGCATTCACCCCCAATTTTTTTTTATTTTTTTTTTGAAGATGGTTTGGATATTTTATTTTTAGGGTGGTGCATTATTTTCAAAGATAATGAGGTTTTGGAAGCCATGTTTGCTGGTTGAACTTTTTCTTTTGTTTTTTTTTTTTCGCTGAAAATTATGTTGATCTGCACAAATTGGACTTGTTACGTTATTTGTTGTGTATTAGAAACTAAGTGAGTTCGTTTCTAGGCCTTGCGATAATATTTCCATCATATATGCCTAGAGTTACTTAAGATTGTAATGGGATTATTTTGATCTAGAATAACACTAATACCATTGTTTGGAAATTAGAACTCAAAGATAGGAAAGAGAAGCATATCGAAACGTCTACTTAACAAAAAATATACAATGTTTTCTTATTTGATGATATCAAAAATTATTCAAGGTTAAGTTTGGTCTAAAAATAGTTCGAAGATATGGCCTCAATAGGGGCTCGAATGATGACGTTAGAATTTGGATTCCAATTCGAGACAATTAAAGTTAGGTGAACGTGTTGAGCTCCCAATCTTTAGCTACTCTGCTTAGACCTCCCAGCGTGTAACTCTAGCTCAAGATTCCTAGCTTAGGCATTGTAGATTGGGAGTCAGCACCAACATGATCTACGTGCATACTAAGAGACTGACAGCATACATTTTCTAAAAGGTCATGTCATATTTAAGAAATGTAACATCTAACGGCTAAATATTCTATCACAGGTTGTAACAATTTCGAAAGGTTCATGCTGATTACTCAAGGATCACGCTCCTATACACACTATAAATAGTTGTCAATCCTTCACATTTTAAATGATTGAATAACAGGGAATTGGTTCTTAAGAGCATTGTAATCATTTTTCACAAGAAATAGAAAACTATTCCATGAGTAAGAAATTCTATTAGAGTGGACTAGCCAAACTTTTAAGTTGGCTAACCACCTGTCTGTTGATTTTCATTCACGATTATTATCCTTGTATCGATTGTTTAACCATTGAGAGTCTAGTAGCTCTGACTGGATATTTTAGTAATTTTCATTAACGTCCTTGTGAATCTCCAATTTATTTTTATTTTTTGAACCCCAAACTTTGCTACACAACTGTGTAAATTATACTATTAGTATTATTTCAGACATTCGATGATTGATTATGGGGTTAATTACAAAATACCTCATCTAAGTTGGTCATATTGCAATCAGTTTCTTGTGGTTTCAATTTAAATAATTTGTCATTTTAAAATTTTTACAAGATTAAATTGGCTACAAAGTGAATTTGAGATGTAAATTTCCTAAAATACTTCCAACCTTTAATATATTCTCTTTTTTTCTTTTCCTAGCCAACACATTAAGACACAAGCCCTACATAATAATTGGTACCCCCTTATCTCGTTGGCGGCATTAGCATGTGGCTGTCTCGTCCAAAGGCATTCATGCCTTAGCCAAATTGAGTTAAGTCCCATGCATGGTGGAAGAAAACAGTTCATGCATGGGCATATGGATACAAGAAAACATGCAAGCAAGGTAGTTAGTTGGCTCGAATTATGGGATAATGCTAGTTTGAGAGACCCAAGTCATGTGCTAGGCATGGTTAAGTACAAATGCAAGACAATCAGTTGTTGAGGACTCACAAAAAAGACACATGCACAACATATGAGGATGTTGTGACATGTGCCCTACAGATGGTAACAGTTATGTGCAGTTGCTGGCAGGTGCACAACATGAAAGAGTGTTTGCCATGTGCACACAACATGCAGGAAAGTTGGAGGCAATTGCTAGCTGGGTCAGCCAACAATTGTAACTACCTCTACCATGACCAACATAATGGAGAGAGTGGCTGAAGGTATTAGCCATGCTCAGCAGGCTTGTGGGAAAATTTGAATTACCATGTAGTTGTTTATGCGGTTGGCCTTGTAACTACCAATCTGAATGTTATAAATATGCATGTCTAGGTCTGCAATGCAAATAAGAGAGTTAGACACGTTTTTATAAGCAGACCCAAGGTTGAGTTGCCTTTAAGCTTTGTTGAGAAAGAAAAGGTTTGACCAATTTGCCTATAAAGCTTGTGCGTTGTATGTGGGTGTGCTTATCTGTCCCTATTCTGTTCATGTGTGTATTTTTGTGAAAGTTTTGAGTGCTTAGCTGAGGCAAAGTGAGGATCTTAGTGCCATCATGAGGCATAAATTTGAGTGAGAAATAATCCCAATGACAATTGGTATCCGAGCTTCAGTTTGCTACCATGGCTAGTAGAAATGCTGCTAAATTGCGAGAACGTGTGACTTGTCTCAAAGATTTTCTGGGCGCCCCTGAAAGTGATACTGCAACCAGCGTGGTTGTGCAGATGGAGCAGCACGCTGTTTAGATTACTGGTTTACGGATAGCCTTTGACAGTTACGTGGCCAACAACGATGCGAACTTGCAACGATGATAGAAGACATTTTGTCCCTAACTGATGCTGTCAAAATCAATCTGAAGGATCTTGAAGACAATATGTCCCCAGTGAAGAAGGTCATGAATTCTCGACCTATTGTGGGCGAGACGTCTTCAAAAATCAAGGTCCCAAAACCAAAGGTCTTCGGAGGCACTCGAAACGTTAAGGATCTGGAGAATTTCTTATGGGACATGGAGCAGTTCTTTAAAGTTGTCCATGTGTCTACTAGAGATAAGGTGACTATTACTAGTATGCATCTTTCTGGTGATGCCAAGTTGTGGTGACAGACTCGGAATGAGGATAATGCATTCGTTGGGCGTGCAAAGATTGAGACGTGGGAGACACTAAAAAACGAATTAAATGATCAATTCTTCTCTAGCAATACGATCTGAATTGCTAGGGATTCATTCAAGAATTAAAGCACACCGAGATTATTCATGATTACATGAAGGAGTTCAGTTTGTTGATGCTGGACATTAAAAACATATCAGAGGAAAACAAACTCTTTAATTTCATGTCCAAGCTGTAAGGCTAGGCACAGACCGAGTTATGTAAGCAGGAGGTACGTGATTTGCCCACTGTCATCACTGCTGCAGATGGTCTTGTTGACCTCAAAATGGGCTGCAATAAAGACCCTTCTGAGAAGAAAAAGGATGGTGGCGAATAAAGTTGGCACCTCCAAAGACGGAAAGAAGGTGGATTAGAAGAAAAAAAAGAACGTTGTTGACCTTAAAAAGCCAGAAGAAAAAAGTCTTTGATTCTGGTTGTTTTATCTGTGATGGTCCCCATCGTATCAAAGACTGTCCCAAAGCGAAAGAAGTTTAGTGCCCTCATCACTGCAAGTGAGGATGACAGTGATGATGCATGCCCCATCCAAGTTAACCATCTATAGGTGCTGAACGCAATCACTGTGGACAAATTTCAACAACCCCTCAAAGGTCTTATGTTTGTACAAGCCTGGGTGAATGATAAGGAAGTTTTGGCCATGGTGGATATGAGAGCCACCCATAATTTTATCACCCACAGAGAGGGGAAAAAATTTGGCCTACAATTGTTAGAAAATACTAGCGAGCTCAAGGCGATAAACTCTGAAACAATGCCGGTGTATGACACGATAGAAATACGCCTGAAGGTGGTTCTATGGAAAAACCATGTGAGCTTGATGGGTGTGTCCTTGGATGACTTTGATGTCATCCTAGAGAATATATTCTTTATCAAGGCAAAGGTGGCATTCATGCCACACTTGAATGGAGTACTGATTTTGAATGAAAAAACACTTTGTTTTGTGCCTGCAGATATGGTAGACCAAAGCAAAAAAAAAAAAAAAAATGCAAACGAAAGATAGAGATAATGTTCGTTACGCAAGTGAAAGTTAGGTTGAGGAAGGACAAGATGACAAACCTAGCAGCTTTGCTGGAGATCAAACCAGATGTGATGGTTGAAGTGTCTAATGCAGTGGTAGATGTCTTGTGGAAATTTCCTGATGTTATGCCCCCAAAACTCCCCAAAAGCCTTCTGCTCAAACGTGCAATCTACCACAAGATCGAGCTAGAGCCTAGTGCAAAGCCTCCAGCCCGTGCCCCTTACTAGATGTCGTCGATAGAACTGACAGAATTAAGGAAATAGTTGAACAAATTGTTAGATTCTGGTAGTATAAAGTCATCCAAGGTGTCATATGGAGCCCCTGTCCTGTTCTAAAAAAAGCAAGATGGTTCGCTATGTATGTGCATCGACTTTCAGGCCCTGAACAAGGTGACAATCAAGAACAAAAACCCTGTTTCGAATGTTTCTGATATGTTTGATAGGCTTTCCAAGGTAACCTTCTACACAAAGATAGATCTAAGGGTTGGGTATTGGCAAGTTAGGATTACAGAGTAAGATGAGCAAACTGCGTGTGTGACGCACTACGGGTCTTTTGAATTCCTTGTAATGCCGTTTGGGCTTACCAATGCCCTAACAACTTTCTGCAATTTAATGAATAATGTCTTTTATAAGTTTATCGATGTCTTTGTGGTTGTTTATTTGGATGATATTGTAGTCTATAGTGAGACATTGGAGAATCATATACACCATTTGAGAGCGGTGTTCTCACGGCTTAAAGAGCACCAGTTGTGTGTCAAGAAGGAGAAATATGAATTTTGTCGCCAAGAAGTGATGTTCTTAGGACACTGGATTAGCAAAGACCAAATCCAGAAGGATAAAAGGAAGATGAAGACAATCGTCGATTGGCCTACACCAACCAAGGTGCCTAAACTGCGATCGTTCCTTAGCCTAGCCAATTATTATCGCAAGTTCAGCGAGGGTTATTCCAAAAAGTGTACTATCCTGACTGACTTGCAAAAGAAAGACCAGAAATGGGACTGGAATGGTGCCTATCAGACAGCTTTTGAGAAACTGAAGCATGCAATATCTTCTACAC